TTGAGAAGTGGACTGTATTTGTTTCGAGAGTATTAAAAAGCCTTACCTTATGGATCCACTCGGCGTGTTTCGTTGGCTAGCTAGCGTTGACGTTCGTTCCTGTAAGGACCTTTGAAACTCTATTTCACGGGTTCGACCTCACTTATAGTCACAGATTTGAAAAGGTTCAGTTGGCACACGATTAGGTGATTTACATAAATCACGTTTGACTTAAACATTAAATATTTTTTTGTGGAATATCGATCAATGTGTGACTCGATCGATGCCTCTCTTGTCTCTTTTTTTACACGCGGCTGTGTCTATAACGCGCGTGCCTCCCGACAACAATAATTAATTGTATATTATGCAAATTGAAGGTATGCAAAACCGCATACACAAAATGTAATGTGCGGTCCGCAATAATTACAAATATAAAATAAATCCATTTCAAAACATACTCCCCCCCGATGAAAGGATTTAATATCCTTTTATTACCTAACTACTACTACCTAACAAAATATTTATTGTGTTTCCCGAAACCAAAATTTTCATTGTACCTTGAGTCGTGCGAATTGTGGCTACTCTCGTAATCCCGTCAGTGCCCTTATGCAACCCAACAACCCTACCAAGAACCCATTTCGTAGGAGGCAAGTTTTTTTGTTTAACAACCACTAAAGAACCCTTCTTTAGAACTTCATCGGAATAATGCCATTTATGACGCTGTTGAAGAGTCTGAAGATACTATTCCAACGCCGCCATATATTTTGATGGAACTGTTGGAGAAGTTGCCACCGAGAAAGATGATCTTCGTCAGGAGAGGCAGAAACAGGCTCCATATTCAAAAAATGGTTTGGAGTGAGGGCAGAAAAGTCATTAGGATCCGCGCCGAACGCCGTCAAGTGGCGCGAGTTCAGGACCGCTTCTATCTGGGTAAGAAGAGTAGACATCTCCTCAAATGTAAGGATCTGCTCGCCGATAACCCGAATTTAATGAGTTTTCACGGACTTAATGGCCGCTTCCCAAAGACCTTCCATGTGGGGTGCAGCAGGGGGATTGAAATGCCACTTAATTGCAAGGGAATCACAAGTATCCTTTAACTACGTAAACAAATTATCTGCTATTACAAAATTGGTGCCACAATCACTGTGTATGTCTGATACTCGTCCTCTGCGAGCTACAAACCTACGAAATGCTGCAACAAATGCCTCCGTACTGAGGCTTGAAACAAGTTCAATGTGTACTGCCTTCGTGACAAAGCACACAAATATACGATTTAAGAGATTTAGCTCCTCGGTAACGCCTCATAGTAACCTTAAATGGACCACCCATGTCAACTCCACAACGTGCAAATGCTTTTATATGAGAAACCCTATGAGCAGGGAGATCTCCCATACGAGGTAACAGAGGTTTAGGGTAGGCCCTAAAACATCTGAAGCATGAGGACAAACAGCGATAGATTGCTCGTTTCGCGCCAAGAATCCAGAACTGTTGCCCAATGAGGTATTGAAGAGTTTGAGGTCCAGGATGAAGAAACCTTTCATGAAAACTACGAATGATAAGGTCCGTAAACGGGTGTTCCTTGGGTAAAAGTATAGGAAACTTTTCTTCGAAGGTAAGTTGCGAATGTCTTAGGCGACCACCAACGCGTAATAAACAGATTTCGTCGAGAAATGGAGCTAATTTACGAAGTGACTTACTGTTACGTTTTAGAAGTGAAATTTTTTCAGGGAAGGATGAAGACTGGACGAACTTGGCTAACGTAAGGGTAGCAAGATGTAACTACTTTTCTGTCGGAACACCACAATGCTAGTGTTTTTTATGACAACGATCTATAAAACGTAACACGTAGCTGACGGTACCTTGGATTTTCCGAAGTGAAGAAAAGCGTTGGAAAAGATCTTCCCCAAGGTTATTATGTGCATCTACTACCAATGAAAGTATTGCCGGTTTGGCAACTTCCATGTCAAAATCGATAGATACGTCAAATTTGGAAATTGGCCACTCTTCTTTTGGTAGGGATAACCAAAGTGGGCCGTTCCACCAAAGGAAGTGTTCCACTAATACTTTAGGCAGCGCGCCGCGACTGGCGACGTCTGCAGGATTGTCAGCTGAAACTAAATGTTTGCATTCGGGAGCAACACTTCCTTGGATAAATTGGCGACAAAGGTTTTCCATTTATATGGAGGCGACTTTATCCACGACAACGCTATGGTCGAATCTGACCATGCATAAATTTTATTCCAAACAAGGTTTTGTTTAAATGAATCAACAACAAATTTAATGAGTTTACTCAACAAAACGGCTCCATTGATATTTTCATTAAGGAGGCAACCTTGGATATTCCACACAACAGGGAAACAGAGACATGTCCATCTGGAGAAATAGCTCTTAAGTAAACGCAACAGGCGTAACCCTTTTCACTGCTGTCACAAAATCCATGGAGTTCAAGCTGACATAAGTTAATGTCTAAATATCTAGGTATCTTGACCCCATTTAAGTAACGAAGTTCTGACTTAAACTGTGACCATTTTGAAGTAACTTCAGGAGGAGGGGGTTCATCCCACTCTATCCCAATCGACCACAATAACTGAATCAAATGTTTGGCAAAGAAAGACAAAGGAGCTAAAAATCCTAAGGGATCCCAAATTCTGGCAATATCCGATAAAATTGATCGTTTAGTCTGATTAGAATTACCTTGACTACTACTATGAAATGCAAAGCTGTCGGATGAAGGTAACCACTGAAGTCCTAATATTTTTAAAACACTATCCTCCGAATCAAACTTAATGGGTTGACAATGCTCTAGAGATAGGTTGCGCGCTAACGGAAAATCATGACCTTCCTCTTCAACTAATTCTGCGCATGGCTAGATAAGGTGAAGACGAGAGACCAAAGGTAACGCGAGTCAAGCGATATTCTTCTATAGGATCATTATCATGAAAACGCCAAAGAATTCTTTGAAAGTCTTGATGAGATTCTTCTACTATGATTTGCCGAAACATCTGTTTTATATCACCAGTTATTATGAACTTGGGCAAACGAAAATTTAACAACAAAGAAGCGATATCCGCCTGGAGTTTTTGACCTACTAATAGATTGCCATTTAAAGATTTATTGTTTAAAGATTTACAACTACCATCGAAAACAATTCTAAGTTTGGTACTAGTACTTTCTGGTTTCCAGACAGCATGGTGTGGAAGAAAGTAATGAGGACTATCAACAAGGGGTGTAACCTTTACCAAGTGGTTACAATTCAAATAATCCCTGATAACTTCCGAATAAAGTTCTTTCAAATAAGGTTCTCTAGCGAACTTGTGTTCGAAATCTCCTTGCCACCGATTTAGATTCACCCAAGTCTACATTGGAATCCGGAAAAGGCAAAAACGAAAATTAACTCTTGTTAGAATTAAATCGAAATAATAATAGTTAGTACAAAGTTTATATACAAAAGTGCTCTTTTAGTTCCACCCTTACTTCTTAAGAAGTCCCATAAGCCAACTGAATGGCTTGTGCGGGTTAGGGGTAGGAACGGACCGCGGGCTTAAAATCCCCTCCGAAGGACTAATACACAATAGGACAAACACAAATAAATAGCCATACCCCTTGTGGGATTCGAACCCACGACCTCCGGCTTGTAGTCAGCAGCACTAACCACTAGACCACCGTCGGCGAGTTATTCTGAACTACTACTAAATAAATGTTTTAATTTAACGTCTACTCGAGTTAAAGATCTTAAATATTTTATTAAATTAAATTAATTAAACGAACAGCGCATTGGCTTAAATATTTAATAATTAAACCGCTGATAAATACCTAAAATTTACTTGAATCGATGTTTAGGCGCAAGAGAGATAGCGAGTGTCGTTTTTTTATAAATAATAAAAATGCAAAAAAAATGGATTCTAGAAATGTGGAAAATGCCACCTAATGAAATAAACTATATTTGCGGAAAATGCCGCGTAATTACGCTTATGCATGCGGATAATGCCACAACTACATAATTGTGAAAATCAACTACAATACCTAATAATCAAAGTTAAAGTCAACATATTTAATTATAAAAATTCAAACGTGTATTATAAAACGCTGGAGTTAACTTTGTCAAATCTGCGATACAAGTTAAAGCCTATTTGGCGAGCAAGGACCAAATGTAAAGGTTCTGTTGTTTCACCTTAGATGTAATTAATTTATTTTGAGAAGTGGACTGTATTTGTTTCGATAGTATTAAAAGGCATTACCTTATGGATCCACTCGGCGTGTTTCTTTGGCTAGCTAGCGTTGACGTTCGTTCCTGTAAGGACCTTTGAATCTCTATTTCACGGGTTCGACCTCACTTATAGTCACAGATTTGAAAAGGTTCAGTTGGCACACGATTAGGTGTTTTACATAAATCACGTTTGACTTAAACATTAAATATTTTTATGTGGAATATCGATCAATGTGCGACTCGATCGATTTCTCTCTTGTTTCTTTTTTTACACGCGGCTGTGTCTATAACGCGCGTGCCTCCCGACAACAATAATTAATTGTATATTATGCAAATTGAAGGTATGCAAAACCGCATACACAAAATGTAATGTGCGGTCCGCAATAATTACAAATATAAAATAAATCCATTTCTAAACATACACTATGAAAAGAGCATATCTTTTGAAAAACAATTAAAATATTGATTTTTGTCCAAAACCCTATTTTTGTCCGCACTGTTCGTCGTTATAGAAAACTGTCGCAACGTTCCGGAAACAATTTTTGAAAGTATTAATTAATTTAACTACCTGGTAGTCCAGATATTTTCTAATAAATGGTCGAGTTAAATGTGGTACTTGTCTTTGTTTTGATAAACTTGCGTCCTATGTTAACAGTGACCAAAAAGCTACGTTAAAGTGTAATTCCTTAAAAAACTTAATAATCTAACAAATAAAGCAATCTGCTAAATAGATTTAGTACAATAAATACATTAGTATATTTGTAAAACTCATTATGGTTTCAAATAAAAACGGGTTTGGTATTTTCTTTTACAGCTTCTTCCAGACAGTGTCGACCCAATGGAATTGCTCTCTTATTTGGATCCACCGGATTTGAATACACCGCCTTCAAGCGGCAGCAGCTCTGGTCCGAATAACACATCAGCCAACGACGACATATTAGCTCTGTTCGAATAAATCGAGTTCCTGTGCTCACTTCCACGTACGTGGTTGTCAAGTGAGTGAACCAGTGTGATACAAACAATATTTAACTTGTTAATTATTCAAGTATAAGGTCTAAATCAAACTATTTTCTCTGTACTATTTGTACATAACTACTTAAAATTATGACTTATCCTATTTCATTGGTTCGACGTGTAAAGCTTTAGAAGATATTTATATATTAATTTACAAATTCCTTTAAACCACTCTGAAAACAGGTATTATTAAAAGGCTGTTATTTTTTTAAATTATTAAAATTTAATGTAATTGATAACTAAAGGTTCAATGAGATAGGGAAAATATAAGTCGGCCAGTTTAGCATAATTTAACTACATGAATATAATAAATAAGTAGAGAATTTGGAACCAAACAATCTTAGAACGACCGCTGTGCCGGTCTTTTTGCATCTTAATGTGCATAGGCTTTGAAGTATTATCTGCTGTATTCAATTCTGTGAACCTGATATATATATATATATATATATATATATATATATATATATTGGCAATACATGTATAAGGATATTAGGCACAATTTGGTGACATAAGATGTGTCACTGAGAAAAAATGTATTATTAATATAGTAAGTTTGTATAATTTTATAGGCAAACACCACATATATGATATATAAATATATTTAATTGAAAAAAGAATTCTGCGACTGTGATAAATCTTTAATTATAAGTAATTTAACTTATTCAATAATTATTGTATATTAATAATATGATGGTTTTAGCATTACATATTTACTATGAAGCAAAACTATGTTATGTTATATTGTGGTAGATGTTTGTGAATTTCTTTCAAAAATTATTTGATGTGATAGCAAATATATTTTGGTAATAAATAAAGAGTTTTATTTCGGAATCCTTATACATGAAAATGTCTAATTAAGTTATAATTTTTACTGTAGGGTCCAAGTTCCTAAACATTAAAAGCATTATAGTTAATAGCAATTCAAAGTTATATTAGGTTCACAGCAATTGTCTCTTATTGCCAAGAGTAACTTATTCTAAAAATAGACAAAATAATGTTAATAAATTATATGTAAGTAGCCAAAATAGATTTACTTGTTTATTAAAAGTTTACAATACTCATGTCACAAACTTTCATTGTAAATTACACAGACTACTAATTAATTGCTTCCAAGTATCGTAAACTTTTTATAAAAAACAAATACCTACCAGTATAAAATGCCAATAATTTGATTTATTTGGGCAAAATAGGTTACTTTATTAATGCTTATTTATTTTAAGTTTTACAATGGACCAATATTGTAATTTGTTATTATTTCATTATTGTCATTAGATGTTTAAAATTTAGACCATTATTGCAACATATCATTTTTTGTAGTTTATTTACCTTCTTGGACCAAAAAAATTAAACATATTTTTAAATTAATATGTTTTTGCATTAATATTTCAATATAGGTAGGTACTATTATTTGAATTATTTTCATGAAATATAAAAAGTAACCTAATTATTGGCAATTTTATATGTTTTTACGGAATATATCTAAATTATGCTGTAGTAAAAATAACATATATATTTATATATAATATATATAATTATATATACATATATATATATATATACATATTATATTTTATATGTATATTATATTGTACATTCTTTCAAAAAGTAAGATGTTTTCAAATGATTTTTTGATTTTCTATTTTTAGTCTAATATTTTATGGGGATTATTTTGTTACATTAAACAGTACAAAGTTTATTTTTAATATCTAAATTAGTTTGTATATTTTTATTTTTAATTAAAAACTTCGTGTTAACTTTATTTTATTATCAGTGTTTTGTGCAATGAATAAAAATGTAGACTGATAGTTTTAATATTAATATTATTGTTTTTATTAAGTTTGTCCTTTTTTATTTTTTACAGTTTTAAATTGTTTAAACATTAATTATATATAAAGGTACTTGATAATCAAGTAATTACACTTAGAAAACGTTATTGGGTAAATATTGTTTCAGCTGCTGCTTTGGATTGACGAATCTGCGTGATTAAACGGTAAACCTAATTTGTAATTTACTTTATTTTTCTAATAGTTTAAAAATTCTACAAACTAGGGACGAAAATAAGGCTGGCTTCGGCCCAAAATTTTTTGCAAACGATATGAATTATAACATCTAACTAAGTATCAAGATATAGGAAAATTACAGATTTACAGTCATTTAAAAAAATCAATCGCAAGAAAACTGAGAATAAAAAATAGACTGAAATCAACGTCTATTATCGTAAAACTACGCAAAGATACAACTCGGCAAATGTAGAAAGAGACTTCAGATATGAGCCTGGTGCGCAAATTTTAAAGAGAGAACGCATTCGGAAGAAAAGAGATCCATGATACGGCCGAGATCGGCCGCACAGAGGACTAAAATCCCCAAAAAGCGGTTTTACGTGGTATTTGTAAAGTTTTAAATTATTAAGTTATAAAATAGTTAGAACACAGCATATGCTGTGGTTAGAGCTAAAAAATTATTCAAGTTTAATGGATGTAACTAGTAAAGATTTTAATGACAACTACGGACCGTGTAACAACATTATTAAAGATATTTAAGAGTAAACAATAGTAAATTTTCGATTTACTTTGAATTTTTTTAATTTACTTATACAAATTTACGAATTTTTTTAATTTACTTATACAAATGTAATAGATCAAATTTTCTACCTTAATATTGATGGGGTATTAATAAATATAATTATATTTAAGGTAAACAAGAAATGTTTTAAAGTTAAGGTATGTTTAAATGAGATAACAAATAAAAATACGTTATAATAAAATTGTATTAGGGTTAGGTACGTTTTTATTGATATAAATGTTAAGAAATGATGGCAAATTGATAATTATTTGTGAAGAACCTAGTAGTATTTACAATGGATTTTAAATCAAAATTAAAGTGCAAAGTTTTGTCAGGTCAAGCTAGAGAGGTGATAGCTAATGTTATTCTGTTTCCATTTCAATTTAAAAAAAAGTTGTTTTATTTAATAAATAGTATTAATAGATAATATAATATACTTGATTTACTTTAATTTTAATCCACTGTGCGCAACGTTCTTTACGATACGACAACTTCAATGCAAATGAATATTTTAAGAGCTGGTCACTGCGCTTCGATGGGCGTAAACATTTGAGCTACATTTGCCGAGTTGTACATGTAATTTAAGATATAATTAGATTAGAAATAATATATATAATATTATTAGAAAAAATATCGAACAAAAACCCAAAATTTATTATTACTTTATCTATCTAAGTGGGGTGGACCCTACTTAGTCTTAAAATAATAAAATATTATAATATATTTAAACTTTAACAACATAAAATGTTATTATGTTGACAAAATAATAGTGAGTATTAATTGCACTTAAATCTACTTAGTTTGACAACAAAAATATTTTAATTGACAGGACACTGAGACCAAAATTCTGAATTTTAAAAAATATTTCTTGAAAAAAAGAAATGTAAATTTACAATTAAAACCAAGCCTTAGTGCAATAAATTTAAATATTAAATGGCTAAAATTTTGGTGTAAATTCTTACCAGGATCCTGAGAACTGGACTGATCGCGACGCAACTTCCTCCACATAGTTTCTAGAAATACATTTTTGGCCAAAAGACTTTTTAATTCTTAATAAACACATTTTGATGTGGATATATTAAAAATAAATACTCCAGATCTCAACATTTTTTAATTAACCAAACAAAAGTTGTACTTTAGGTGTTGCCCTAATTTACAAAAGAAAGTTCACGAGCGTAGACAACGTTGTGGCATTATTGTGTTTTTTTTTAAATGTATGTACCTACTTTTAATTGATATAAACATAAAAACGTTATTTAAACCTAGTTTTTTAACCCTTAGTTAGGCGTGCGGGGTGCCACGGTACCGTGCCCACGATCCCAGCAAATTTGTATTTAACTGTATCTTGATTATAAAACCCTTATGCAAGTATTCCTCTAAAAGCTTGACAGTTTTGTTTTACTGTTATCAGTGTTTGTCAATTTTTTATGGTATTTCTTTCATTTGCACCTTCTGTTGTTATAGTGGAACAAATCAATAAAATTATACATTATTAGCTTAAAAAATTTAATTCATACTTATTTTATATAAATAAACACAATAATTATAACAAAAATTGTTTTAATAGGTCATACTCGGGAAATAAACTGAAACGTCAAATTTTTTTATACAAATGGCTCAAAAGTAAGCATAATGTCAGAAAAAGTAAATAAAGGAAAAGTGGATATCATATGAGTCTACATAAACAGGAAGAAAAGAGCCGCAACTTAAAAGAGGTGCTATTTTTGTCCAAAAAAAATTGGACCAGAAAACTATAAAAAGTTGTAACAGTTGTGCAAAACTCATTTGCGATCTTTACTCTAGCTTTTTTTCTATCGAATGTGGTAAATAATGACTAAGTTAAATATTTACTGAAAGATATTTCTCTTGTTAATTTTGTAATTGGAAATTTGTTTGTTCTTTGGTAAAAGTAATTAAGTCATCGTATTTTGCAAAAGTATTTCCAAAGGTCCTGCACAGAAAATAAAAAATACAAATTAATAAAAAAAATAACATGGGATCAAAATCACCCCACGCGCCTAATTGTGGGAGCCGAATTGTGCGCGCCTAACTAAGGATTAAATTTGTTTTTAAATATTTAAATTAATTTAAGTTATAAGTTTAAGTGTTTGGCTGGAATTTTTTTGTCGTGATTAGATTTCGTATTTATTTATGATTACTACCTAAGTAAAATAACTTTTTTGCTAATAATATCAAAAAAAAACATATTTTTTTAGGTACGCATTGTTTAACTTTTAGAATTTTTTTTTGAATAAACCTTTTTTAATATAAAGAAACCTTATAAATAATCTATCCATACACATTAGAATGTCTCTTTGACTTTGTTCCTCTTTCACGCCTAAAATGGTAAACCGATTTTGATGTTAGAACGGTCATATGACCGGTCATATGACGTTGTTATAATCAGGATACGAGAAAGTCCTATCCGGATGATTTTTTTAATTTAAATGTTATAAATAAATGTTATGTACAACTGATGCGAAACAAGCATTATCATAATATTTTTTTTACATAAACACTGGCGTGTTTTTTGCAATTTCTTTATATAGTTAGTCTAATAAAGAATAATCCGTTACCCATTTCAACTTTTTTAATGTTAATTTCTAAACTTAAAACATTTTATAATGCCCACCCATTATCTTTTTCTGCAAATTCCTTCATTTTATTTAAAATTGAATTAATAACATTATCATTAAACCAACTTTTTAAATTTGTGTCTATATTGTGTTTGTGTTTATATACAAATTATTAAGTATTAAAATACTTTACATCTACAATTTCTTGATCATATTGATTTTGGTTTAAAAAATTTTCCCCAAAACAACTTTAAGTATTGACATAGATTTTAAAATGTTATCCTAG